GGGTGAGAAACACTGTTCTATAGAGTCCACTGGACTATTAAATAAATGTAAATAAATAATAATACAGTTTTTTCGGGGAGGGGGGTGCCTTCAAGTCAGCCTTGACTCCTGGCGACTGCCTGGATAAGTCCCTGCAGTCTTTTGGCAAGGTTTCAGAATGGTTTCCCCTTGCCTCCTTCCTAGGGCTGAGAGAGAGGGACCGGCCCAAGGGCACCCGGCTGGCTTTCTGCCTAAGGCAGGACTCGAACTCAGGGCCTCCCGGTTTCTAGCCTGGTGCCTTTAGCCACGCCACCAGCCTGGCTCTCTTCCGCCCAATGAGCTCTCGTAATATAGTAGTTCCTGCCAATTCAGGTGTCCTTCAAAGCTGTATCTTACTGGCTCTCCAGATGCTTTAGTTTATCCCTGCCAGCATCCCCGATGCGCTGGGCAGGACTGGCAGAAGTTATAGCCAAAAGCAATTTGGGGGACACTCCTAGCCATAGGGGAATGTGTATCACCCCCTTCCAGGCAAAGTCAAGCAAACAGAAACAGCAACGCTTAGACTGAGATGGGCGGCTACAGGAATTGCACAAATAAATAAATAACTAAATAAAATGCCCAGCTCTGCTTTTTTCCTCCTCCCTCCCCAAGCCGCTTTCCTTTCATGACATGTCGTTTGGACTATACATGCCAGGGCAAGGAGCTCCCTTATGACCGATTCTTCCAGGTCTCCCCGGGAGTCCCTTTCCAGCTGAGCGAAAGAACTCTTTAAACGCTCCCAAAAGAAAAGCTGGGTCTCCTAGCATCTTTTTGCAAAAAGCAAAATGCCCTGTGTATGTCCACCTGTGCTTATAACGTAGGATAAAGGCAGTAGCAGAGTTTGTAAACGTGGGATCCAGTGAGCCTGGAGGCTGACGACGTAAGATTCAGCTTGATGGGAAAAAAATAAATCCTCCCTTCCTAAATATTACGCTCCACAGCTCAGGCCTGAATCGCCCTCCTGTCCCTGACCCAACTGGGTTTCTCTGGAGAAACATCTCTGATTTCCCATCAGAAGAAGCAGGAAATTGCTCGCTTTTCTTGGAAAAAATGCAACTTCAAAGCCAAAAAGTTTGCTTGAACCAGTATCGCCCCCTGCTGGGGGCTGAGCCCTCTCCGACCATCCTGAACCTGGGGGGGGGCTACGCAGCACCTGTTGGAAAGCCTGAAACCAAATTCCCTTTTCCAGGAAAAGCCACAGCAGCAACCCAATATTTGGCCTTTGAATCTAGATTCTGGCCTGGTCCGAGTGAATCATGTCTTATCGAACTGAATTGGAACAAAACCAGCAGATGGTTTTTCAAAGGAACAAGCCAACCAGCTCTTTTCAGGATCAGATGGGGGCGGGGGGGCCATTTAAACACCCCCAAATTTCCTGAGTAAAGATGCAAGATATACCTTTGGCAGCCCCAAAGCCAGGCATTATGGCATTTCAATCCAAGTAGAGCAGTGTTTCTCAAGCTTGGGAACTTTAAGATGGGTGGACTTCGACTCCCAGAATTCCCCAGCCAGCTGGGGAACTCTGGGAGTCAAAGTCCACCCATCTTAAAGCATGCTGTCTGGGGAATTCTGGGAGCGGAAGTCCACCCATGTTAAAGCATGCTGTCTGGGGAATTCTGGGAGTGGAAGTCCACCCATCTTAAAGCATGCTGTCTGGGGAATTCTGGGAGTTGAGGTCCACCCATC